TGCGACCAAGGGAGGCCCCAGCTCACGCTCCGATGGAAGAGTGAGGCGTTTCTATAACCAGGGTTGTCAGAGGAGAACCAAGAGACCTCTCTTTTTAAAGAGCCTGTGCTCGCAGCGCTGTTCACAAAAGGCGCATCTTCCCGGGGACCCAAGGGGGTTTTCTACCCAAAAGGCTCCTGCTCCACGTAAGCAGCAGACCCACACGAGGGGGACGCAGCTTCCGAGCCCCTTCCCGGAGAGCAGCCCTGGCCGGGGCCCTGCGGGGCCAGCCCGGCCTCGCAAAACCGCCGCTGTGCAGCTGCGGTGCGGAAGCAGGGCGAGGGCCAGAGGCGGGTGCACCGTGGAGGCAGTCTATCGGGAAGCACGGCCTTAAATCCAATCCATCTAGAGCAGACCCTTCCCCCCCCAACAGCTCACCGTCAGCTTATTGCAAAAATGGATGGTTTGCTTCAAAGGCAGAATAGAAAAATCCGACGCTGAATTCCACTGTGTCACTGCTTTGTCACCGAGTCAAGTGGGGGGAGGAAAAATTGAGGGCTTTTTCTTCAGTAATAAACCCAGTTAATCAGTAAGCAGTGCAGTAACATATTCCTTTTGAAGCCTTTGTAGCCCCATCTCATGGACCCCACGGAAAGGTGCACAGAGGAGCTTCATTAACCCAGGGAAAGAGACACCCTCAAGGGAGATCATTCCAGAGCAACAGACCCACCAGGAAGATGCAAACACAAGACACAAAAGCCAGCTTCCCACGTGCCTCACTGTGAAACAGTCTGCACAGGGACAAGCTATCCACGGTACCGCAGCCATACTCCTGTCACCTCGTGGCCCAAGCTGTACTTCAACATGACACCAGTGGGGCAAATCTTATTTTTATTCTTTACCCTGCTGTTAGATAAGATAAGCCTACGCTTCACAGAAATTCATCCCATCCACAGGTACCTTTTCCATCACGCCTGAAAACTGGTTTTGTTTGTCTTCACCGAAAATGTATCTCATTAAGAACACAGTGCCACAGAGGCTCCTGAGGTCTTGAAATCCTTCCGGATTCATTTCTCACACACAGTGCTTTGCCCAGTACAGCACACAAGAGCTAAGATGAGAAAAAGAGCCTGAGCTGCAGTGACTACATCCAGAACTATTTATTTTAAGGCATATGCAATTTTCTCTCATGCATCAAGATACTTTCACGAACATAAGCTCCTTTATGACAATTTCTAATGCATGACAAAATGTCAACTCAGTAGGAAGCTCGTAATTGCAGTTTATTCAATCACAAGTCACGGAAGTTGAATAGAACTTGAAAAGAGAAGAATGCTGGAACTGGAGAGAGCCGTTTCATGTACGAACCTCTTTTTTGCCTATATTTTAAAATACAAAGAGATACTCTTTCTTCAAGGATCTTTTCCTGAGGACACATTACTTAGTCAACCAAATGAGATACGAGAAGCTGCAAGTTTTCCTTCCACCTAAGCTCACTGAGAAAGGGGAAGGGAATACTCATGGAACCTTCCATTTCGTTTGGGCCACATTCAATTCAATGCCTCTCAAGAAACCCAAACTGAAATTACTGAGAGGAGGACTTCTTTAAAGGACATATTTCCTTTCTTCTTGGGGGGGAAGTGACTAAATAGTAAATTAAGTTTGAGATGAATCCAGTAGCTCCTAAAAAAAAAAAAAACAATCAACATCCCTGATGTGGCTCAGGAGCAACTCCCTACACAAAGGCAGGCTAGAAGCCGGGGAGGTGGCTTACAGCCCTTGGGCTGGCGCCTCCGGTGTCGCCCCCCAGGCCAGCGCCGACGACCCCTCGCTGTTGACAGCCGGAGCGTTTAACACACGGCCCCCACGCAAACCAGGCGTGGGGCACGGACACGCAGCTTGGCTTCGAAGGAGCACTGCTCTTTGTGGGAACAAAACACCTTCAGCTACTCAGGGGTGGAAGTCTTTACACACACTGGTATTTAAAGATCACATGAGAGCACCTAGGCTTGCAGTAGCCTATGTAAATATTATTTCATAGAATCACAGACTGGCTGAGGTTGGCAGGGAGCTCTGGAGGTCATCTGGCCCACCGCCCCTGCTCCAGCCAGCGCCAGCTGCCCAGGACCACGTCCAGATGGCTTCTCAATAGCTCCAAGGATGGAGACTCCACCACCCCCCGGGCAACCTGGGCCAGCGCTAAAGTCACACCCTCACGCTGAAGAGGTCCTAGAAAAGAAATTATTTGATTTACAGCTAATTTTAACTAATAGATTAATCTAAAAATTTTTATAGCCCCTGTTTACAAAGAGGCAGATTTATGAAAACAACACTTGAAGAAAAACGTAGTCTGACCGTGGCGAAATGCAATGGTTGGCTTGTCATCTGTGACTCAGTAAAGCCCCTAAACTACCGAGTGTCTTAACGCCTATCAGAGTATTTGAACAAAATAAGAACAGATGTCCATATTGAAGGTATCCACTGAGAATTACAGCTATTTATGGAGATTAATGTAGGCACAAACTCTGCAAACACTCAAGCATATGCTTCGTTTAAGACATGAAGTAGGCCTACTGACATGTACGTCTACTGTGCAAGTAGAAGTTAAGCCTGTGCTTAATTATTTGTAAGAGATACTGCTATTTTTATGGAAAGCCATTAAGCAAGTCTAGCTTACATTTAAATACATTTTTCAGTCAGCAAATGTGCTAGGACTTGTAATCCTACATAAGGCCTACTTAAAATCCTACCTAAAACAGTATACAACAGAACTGCAAACTGTATTTCCAACTGAGGTAGGAACAAAGGAAAACTAATAGCCTAAATGTGTCATACCTGATTTGGACTCTCAAGACTAGCAAAGAGCTTTTGCTTTTCAAAACAAAAAGACAAGTCCAAGGCAACGCTAATAGGAAGCCATTATCCACAAAAGCCCGTGTGCAATGAAACTGTAAAGATACCTGCCTTTCTCAACCACTCTTTAGATTTACCTTTAATGAAGCTTACTTACAGCCGCCTTCCCGAGGGAGATTCTCCTCCCGCAGTGCTTTCCCTTGCCCACACGTTCACCACAGACTCAACAACAGTTCGGGCTCTTGGCTTATTGGAGCTACTGCCCATCAGGCAGCGTAATCCCGCCTGTGTTCTCCTCCACGCCCCTCCTCACCCTGTCCCCTTTCCCTCTTTCTTCCCCCCCTATTTCCATTTGCAGTCTCCTGTCATCCTCTCAGGTGGTTGCTGCTCTGTTCTGCAAAGTGTCCGGCACCGGCACGGCCTACAGCAGCAGAGAAGAAAACCACCCGGTCCATTGTTCCTCGCAGGTAGGGTGGCCGCAGCCATCGCTGTGTCCCTGGCGCGGGACCACCACGGGTCACCACGCGGAGACCAAAGGCTTGCTTTTCTGAGCAGCTCTTTTTCAAACAGCTCGGTTTTCCCTTGGGAGGGGAGCGACAGACCCCCCTGCCACCTCGGAGCCCGGGTGCGGAGCGGGGTGCTGAGCCGCACAGCCAGCCGCCGCGCTCCTCCGTCCAGTCGTTTAACATTCTGTGCAAGTACCGGCATATGCCGAGGAAGGAGGCAGGGACAAAAGACAGCAGCGAGTACACAGGCAACAAAAAGAGCAGCAGCCAGGCTCCAGTATTATGTTCTCAGCCACCTATGTAGGACACAGCAGGACAGCTCCCAGGCTTCCCTGTCCCTCCCAGAGCACTCCTGCCAATACCCTAAACCTGCGAAGGCACACAACCACCACCCTTCGGGCGTTTTGGGGTGCCTGTGCTGGGACAGCAAGCCCCACTGGCCGGTCCTCCAGCCCGTCCAGGCCACCCAGCAGCTGGAGCAGGCAGGGTCAGCACCCAGGGCCCAGCACCCAGCGCGTTCCTGCCCACGGGAGCCGGCCAGGGCGAGCGGCTCAGGGACTGCTGCAGCCGGGCCTGTCCTCACGGGAAGGATTATGGACACGACCCAGGAAAAGATCCCCCCCCCCGATTTTAAGCGCCCAAGGCTCTTGCAATGCAGCCTCTTCTCCCCTACCTTCACACACATACAGAACCTTGTAAATCAGACTGTGCTCACAGCTTTATAAATCAACAAAAGCAGATCTGCCCACCCCCCACCCTCCCCCTTTATAAAAACACCCACTCCAGCCAAAGAACCTCCCTTCCAAATGGAATTACATGGCACAAGACATCTCGATTTGGTGCCGTTCAAACATAATAGGGAATAAAATCGTCTGGCAACTTCTAGTCAGATTTTTTACACCCATTCCTTCTATACTGCAAAAAGACTGACAGACAGCCCTTCACGTTTAGCCCTGAGAAAGCACGGCTGTGATATTGTTATAATGATTATTATTCACGCCTGTAAAAATAGAACCCAGACAAGCGATATGCCCGATACTAACAGTTGCCGTACTGAAATCACGGAACGGTAACATCGCTTGCCCCTCTCCTGATGCTTTATCACACTGCCTACTAGGAAAAGGGGCTGCCTCCCTAAGGCGAGGAGCTAAGACAGGCATCAGCCCCGGTTTTTAACGTTCGCGTAAGATGAAGCGGGCGGCTCTGCTCGCGCACTTTCCCCCCGCTCGCACCGCGCAGGGCTCTGCCGCCGGCCGCTGAGGCCGGAACGCGGGGACCAGTCACCGCGGGTCCTGCCCGGGCTGCCGCGCTCCGCCTGCGCCCCCCCGGCGGGCCCGGGCCCGGGCCCCTCCGCCGCCAGCCGCGGCTCTTTGTTCGCCGGCGGCGGGCACCGGGGAACCGGCCCCGGGAACCGGCCCCGCGGCGGGGACCGCGCCCCGCGGCCGCGTGTGTGTGTGTGTGTGTGCGCGCGTGTGTCCCGGCTCCGGCAGCGCTGCCGGGCGGGGGCGCGGAGCCCCGGGCGCCCGCCCGGACCGACCCTCGACCTTCGCCCGGCCGGCGGGGGCCCGGTAACGGCGGCGGGCGGGGCTGGACGCACCCCGGCACCGCCGCGCACACACACACACACACACACCCCCGGAACCGCCCCCCGCCCCGGCTCACCTCGTCCTCGGAGAGCCCGTACACCGGCTCCACCGCCGCGGTCGCCATGGAGCCGCTGCGCCGGGATCCCGCTCGGCTGCGCGGGGGCACCGCGGGCCCGGTGCAGGTGAGCCGCCCGCCGCCTCCTCCTCCGCCTCCTCCTCCTCCCGCCGCCGCTCCTCGGGAGCCGGGCGCCGGCGGGAAGGGCCCGGGGCGGTGCCGCTCGGGGGCGGGAAGCCCCGCCGGGCCGGGCCGGGCCGGGCCGGGCCGCGCCGCTCCGCTGCCGCCCTCAGCCCCGGCGGGCGCCGCGCGGGAGGCGGAGGGAGCGCGAGGCGCGGCACAAAGCGCGGGGGGCGGAGCTCGCCCCGCCCCGCCCCGCCCCGCCCCGCGCGGGCAGCGGGCGCCCCCAGCGGGTGGGAGCGGCGCCGCGGGGGGGGGGGTGGGGGGGTGATGAGAGGAGCGGGGGGGGGGAGGTGGGGGGGTGATGAGAGGAGCGGGGGGGGGGGGGAAGCGGGCACAAGTTCTATATTGACCAAAAAGTCAATAACCCACGCGAAAGCGGCGGGGGAAGTGGCCGGCCTCCCCCCGCAGCCCCCCCCCCCCCCCCCCCCCCCCCCCCGCGCCTTTTCGTCCCGCCTCGGCCGCCGGAACCGGGGCACCGGCACCCCAGCGCGGCTTCGAGGGGGGCGCGGCGCGGGGCGACGGAAGGGGATTGGGTCCAAACGGGCGTTTCGGCAGGTTTGGGTGCCCCCCCGCCATCCTCCCGCGGGGACACGGGCAGGGCTGGGGGGGGGGGGGGGGGTCACTCTTGAGCAGTGATCGTTCTTCACCGTCGCTTTCTCATCGCTTCGCGCCGTGGGGTTTAAGGAAACAAAATATTCGGGGCGTTTGGATCGAGGCTCGTTCTGGGCAAAACCAAGTCACGCTTCGGTTCTCAATGACTTCCTTATTGGATTTCTGCTCCTTCCTTAATTGGCTCTCATCCCCTCCCAGCCGTGCCCCACCCCGCGCTAATCATTTATTATGTTATCTTTTGGCAATATGATGTCACTTAAGCAGGGGCTAATGAGCTCGAGTTTAGGTGAAAGCTGTTCCCAAACCCATTTGTTGCTTTTACAGGGCAGCAGCTGATTTCTACTCCCTTTACTTCTCAGTATGCGATGCCTTAATAAAGCCACGTGGAGCCCCCGAGGCAGGACAGACCCGGCCCGGGCCCGGGCCCCCAGCCCCCCGGTGGGTCTGGATGTGCGCAGCAGCCCGGCTGGCCGTGGCATCGTGGTGCTGAGCCCCGGGGCTGGCTGCGCAGCCTGGCCCCCGCCGCTCCTCCAGCGAAGCGCTGGGGATGTGCAAGGGGAGGGGTGTGGCGAATATCGGGGGGGACAGCAGCCCCCGAAACTGGTCTACCGCGAACAGAAAACGATCTTGGTGGCCTGGCAACTATTTTCCCCTTACTGTGTTTTCACAGCAAATTGGCCACGAACAGGAAACCATCACTAGAGGAGCTTTCCACCACCCCCCCCCGCCTGGCAGACGCGCCAGCCTCTCCGTGCTCAGGTATCACCTTACACCTGTTTTCTGCTCCACGGAGCCGCGGGGAAAGGGAAACAGGAGATCCCTTCTTCTGGAGAGATTCCGCAAGCAGTCCCTAAGCCAGAAAGTGTTTTTCCAGCCTTTACGAAAGCTCTTTCTAGGGCAGGAGGGATTTGACCTCCGCCCAGACAGCAGCGCACAAGAGCTCCAATGGCAAGCTGCTCAAGCGCAGTTTACGAAGGCATTAGCCTTTGTACTCGCACGAATGTCTCCCGGTTATAAACTACTCGTGGTGCAGCTGGTCCGGGCAGGGTCTTCCCCAGCACCACCCGCTGCCCCTGCTCCTGTGTCCCCTCCCCGGTGACCTGGCGCGGGTCCCCTCGGGCGGCGGGGTCCAGAGGGGCGCCTGGGCACCGGGCTCATCCAGCGGTGCTCCTGGCAAGAGAAATTCAGTTTTATTACTCCTTCCCCCGAGCTCAGCAGATCATCCTCAAGCCCGCATCTAGCTTTTTTCCCATGCTTTTCAATCACCTGCTTCGCCGGCTCATCAGAAGCAGCTCCACCACCTCCCATCCCCTGGATGCCACGGCCCGTCAGGATTCTCGATCATGCCCTCCCCAAGGGTCCTTCTCTTCAGTTATCTCTCGCTTGCTTCAACTCCTGGCCTTACAGCATCACAGCTCTGAGCAGCACGAGTCACTTCAGGCTTTTTCTCAGGTGGCCACTTCTTCAGCAACCTTCTGGGCCAGGGTGCCACAGTGCAAGCCCTACCTCGTCCCCGGGGGTCCCACCGCAAGGCAGAGGTAAACTGAGCCCGAGCCATCTGCAGGGCTGGCTCTGGGAAGTTCAGGTGATCCCGGCTTATCTCCAACTGTGTGATTTCAGGAGTCCTGAAAATCCTTTTTTCAGCAGTCAGTTTCATGAACTCATCTCGGTTCTTTGCGTGCCTGTATCTTCACTTATCAGCAGCTGAGGCCTTTCGCTGGAAACGCAGGAACCTCGCAGGGACTGCCATGAACATCTGTATTTCCGCAGAATAGAATGAAAAGGAAATAGGTGACTGTAATTCAATGACCGTTATTAATTGGACTGTAATCCAAATGCTGTAAAGCTGCTGATACACGGAAATCTCTGAATCTGGATCCTTTCTGCAGTGCATGAGGACAAAGGGAGAGCTCCACACGTGTGCACCGCTGGGCCGGCCCCGGGCCCCTGCAGGCACGGCAGCGGTTCTCCACGGCCACCTTCCAGTTTGAAAATCAGACAGCGCTGCCGTCAACAGGTCCGACCCGAGGGAAGAGTAGGCATGTGCATGGGCTGAATGAAAGGATCTCTGATGACAGAGCAGAAAATCTGCCGCTAGCACATCAACCCGATTGGATTGTAAAGTTTTGGTATCAGCTTCGTGACGGGGATTACTCGTTTGTTTGCTCATGAATATGACATGCATAATTCCTCTTCAGAATTGCATTTAGGATAATAGATGGCCCCGGAGAGATGTAATTCATTTGAGAATGCTGACATCATCTAGGTGCAGCTCGGATGATTTCTAACCGGCCTCTTTATATAACAACGGCCCATTAATTATTTAACATTTTCAGAGGAAAAAACAGATGAGATCTATATTCTGGCTGGCAATTCTCGATTAAAGATGAAGCTTCCTACAGCTGCGTAAGGCGGGCGGCAGTCGGGAGCGATGAGGCCGGTACGCGTGGCGCGGCGCCCGGGGGCAGTCCCTGTGCCGGGGCGGTGGGTGGCTCCTCTCCAGACAAATGCCTGATCCTTCCCTAAATCTCTCTAATCACTCCCTCAGCGATGTCCCCCAGCAGCAACGATGTCCCCCAGCAGCAACGTGCCTGCGCTGACTACGCAGATTAATACCAAAATGTCATCCTTTTAATCTATGCACGCGCTTGCCGCCCATTCTTGGGCTCATACTAAATAGCCAAATCATGCCAACGCGCACTGCTCCGTAGAAAAAAGGAAAATACTTTATCTGCTTTCCTTTGTGGACCTACAGTTCATTGGCTTTTTATTCTCTCATATGGCAAATAAAAGTCATAAAAATACCTGAGCACGTGCCCATTTTTAGCCTCCAATCAGTTCTCTTTGGAGGAGGTTTGCTCAGGAAATTGTTGTCATTAATGTGATTTTTTTCCCCTTTGGTATTACGGTGTAAATGCTCAAACATCCTCCAAGTACAATAGGGATTTTTTTTTCTCTGCTTCTCAATGCCAAGTGACAGACTATATTTCACAAAAAAAATGTCTTTAAGCGGGAATGATCCGAACTATCAGCTTCTGGACTAGCTTGAGTTAGCAGCTGGATCCTGCAATCCAGCGGTCCGTTCCTGGGTCTGCTGAGCAGATTGAAAAAGTAAATAGCACTTATGTTCTTCTCAGGTACCAATGTATACCATGGGAAGATTAAGGTAACAATAATCTGGTAAACAGAAAAACTCCCCACTTTGGGTTCAATGTACTCTTAAAACCCTACTCGTGGAGCTCACTCTATCCTGATGCACCAGACCCCTTCCAAATCTCAGGCAGATATTTTAAATCTCTTCCTCAGAATGTCTGTGAGAGACGAAGAGGAATGAGATCAGAAACGAATTGCTCATTTACCAAGAAAGGCACTTGCTCCCTGTCTCCTTCAATTACTTTCTTCTGTATACTCTGAACCTAAGTTTTGTTTATTTTTTTCTGCATTGCACCAGCAACATTCGCTTGTATCAAATACATATTTTTGTTTCATTTTTAGCTCAGATTGAAGTACCGTACTGTACTTTAATTTTTGTACTAATTTTGGTCTTATCCCTTCCCAGGTAATTTTTCTATTTTTCCCCCAATGAATCGCTGATCCTTGATATCACAGTCTATGACCTATGAACTCCTCTAGTGTGAGAAAGCTTATAGCCCCATTGCACTTGAAAAGAATTATTTCCAATTGCTATTATTACACTTACAACAATTATAATTAAAATAAACCTCTTTTTTTTTAGCTGTTAGGGTTTTTTTATGGGATGTTCATGACACATTCTGCAATTTTCAAATAGTTGCATCATTCGATGAAGCAAGCAGGTTTTACTTTTCAATCACTTCAGCTCTGCGTTTTACTGCTGCTTGTTTCTAAAGTTCCGTTTTTGTGTCACAAGGACCAAATTCATCTGACCCAGACACCCAGGGATCCTTTTACTCCCAACAGAGAGGATCAGGAGCTTTTGAAATGCAATTCATCTCAGCATCCTGAAGCAGACATCTGAAAAAAGTCAAATGAATGTTGCCATGAAAGCGCCTCTTTCTCTCTCTTGAGTGTAAGAAAGCCCGAGGCCGAGAGCCCCAGCAAAGGCACCTCCACGTCCGTGGCGCCCGGCCGCGCGTGGGAACGGGATTGTCATTCACCACTCACCCGCCCCGACCTGCATCATTCTGAAGAACTAAATGCAAGAGCTCAAGAACGCGTTTCCCTTCAGCATGCTGAAATCTGAGCAGGGAGCTTTTTAACTCCGCTTCGTCACAAGTGGAGCAGCAAGCCACCCGGCAGGTGAGCGAGCCTTCGGGCAGAGGCAGAGCGTCAGCCCCCTTCGTGCTGTCAGTGCCCGCCGGACAAGGTGCAGCGCTTGTCGCTTGGACTGTGTCCCGTGAGCAGGCGCCCGGGAAGGGCACTTGACAGAAAGCCCTTCCCGCAGA